CGTTCAGTATTCTCCAAAATTCTATCTCCCCTATCTTCCAAAGACAACAAGGATCTTTCCAAATACGAACCATCTAAAGAACTTTTTTTTAAGGGGAGGAATCTGAAGAAGAGAATGGAACGATCGAAGATGAGAAACCATTAAAAAAACATGAAATGAGAAGGACTAACAGATGCAGAGACCACCATTCAAAGGCCACCAGTGTACTACCTATATTGATTAATTTAAGGTGGAACGCTCCCCACGGATACCCCTAAGAAGAGGATTCCCCCTCATTCCCAATGTGGTACTTCCACCTAAAGGAAGCTAATGTCATCACAAGATTCGGGAAGATTCGCAAACACTCTCAAAGAGAACTAATAGCCTCAAGCAACAAGAATGACAAGTCATCACTCCCTAAGTTCGTTCTGATTATCGACAAGTCTATCAATAAAGTTGTGATTCTCCTAATTGAACAGAGTGTTTGAATTAAAACAACAAATTGAATCCAAGATAGACAACATGAATATAGTAAAATACGCCACTTGCACCCTAGGTCAGAGAGCCAGAGAACTCAAGAGAGGACAACATGATGAAAATGGTACAACCCATCATGTCAATTAACCAAAGAAGGGTTACTACCCGTGGCCACAAAATATAGACTATATAATGTAGAGCCCAACTGACCTAAAGCATACTGGGTACCAAATGATTATAACCAATCAAAGGATGTGTGAAAAGCCTAATCAGCTCGAAGAGCTATTCAACCTGTTAATCGGACATTTTAAATCTCTAACAAGTTTACCTAGGGCGATGGCACCCTTAGGTTAAGGGTAGGAATCATGGGAAGAAAAATATTATAGGTAAACATTTATCCTTGCTATATCTCTCAGTGGATGTAGCTTTCCCATTTCTAATCCCATTCATGTTTGGAAACTGGGTGTAGCAATATGTAACTGAAATACAAGCATTTATGCTATCGAGTTGTTTCAAAGGTCGTAAATAGTAATAGTTCGCACTCTATCATTTGAAATCGGTAGGATTTCAATTCTCTCCCCCTTATTTGAAAACGGTAGGATTTCAACTCTCTCTCTAACAATTAGAAACATGTAGGATTTCGGAAATCGACCGCTCTCTATCAATAGGAAATCTATAGGATTTCAGGAACAAGTATGTTATCATATAATACGACTCATACGTTGCTCGTTTATAACAAAATTGTTATTAGTACATTTCCTGTCATCAAAATTCATGCATATCTGCTATCTGATACTAGTATCGATGGAAGCTTCATTGACTATAAGTTTAGAATCATACTAAACCGTGAATCCTGCAACGAAAAGTAGAAGGCATCTTAGGAATACTTTCCAATTGCCATCTCACCTTGAATAACCACGTCTTTCCCATCAACCTTATACCCATGACCATTGGAAGTTTCGATGAGTTTATCAGAATGGACTAATTATCGCCTCTCCGAGCCAATGTTATATACTATGGGAAAGACATTCGACTACCTCCACCCAACCACGAAACCCTTGTGATTTACGAAGATAAATAAAGGAAGAACCTAAGGGTCATTTCTTGCATGAAGGTGAGAAAGTGCTTATAGAAAAGATGCTTCGCTTTCTTGGCCCACATGATAGAATAAGCAAGACAAGGGTAAGGAAATCAAAGATATTCCACAAGTTTGCGATTACCCAGGCATATTCCTAGAGGAACTACTGGGACTACCCTTAGTCAAGCAGGTCGAATTCCAAATTGACTTAACCTCGGGTGTAGCGCTTATGGCAAGACCTCCTTATTTCTTGGCTCCATCAAAAATGCAAGAACTGTCCGACCAACTCCAAGAACTAATTGACAAAGGATTTATCCGGCCAAGCTCCTCACCATGGAGTTCTCCGATGTTGCTTGTCAAAAAGAAGGATGAATCGTTCAGGATATGTGAGTTGAGCTGATACCCACTCTCGAGGATCGATGACCTATTCGACCAGTTGCAAGGATCTCGCTACCACTTGGAAGATCAAACTAAGATTCGATATTCCTCAACTCCGAGTACAAGAAGAAGACATCCCCAAAACGACATTCATGACCTAGTACGGTCACTACGAGTCCCTGGAGATGCCCTTTGGGTTGACCCGTGCACCGATAATATTCATGGAACTTATGAGCGGAGTTTGCAAGCCCCATTTGCACATGTTCGTGATCGCCTTTATTGACTACATTTTTAATATATTCTCGAACCAAGGAATAATATGGCTAGCACTTGCATTTGATTCTGGAAACTACTAAGGAAGGAGAAACCTTATGCAAGGTTCTTAGAATGCGAATTATGTATCAACGAGGAGCGTTTAATTGATCATGTGGTCAATAGCAAAGGAATTCATAGTGAACCTGTAAGGATTGAAGAAAATATGGATTGGAAAGAACCAATGACATCAACAGAAGTACGCTAATTATTAAGGCTTATGGGCTATTACCAGAGATTCATCGAGAATTTCTCTAAAATAGCCAAGCCTCCAACTTCTCTAACCAATACAGAAAAGAAATATGATTGGGAGACAATCAAGGGTCTGCCTTCCAGAGATTAAAACAATCGTCGTGCAGTGCACCAATACCACCTTTCCCCATAGGGAACGGAAGACTTGGTAGTACTATGCAATGCTCCTTGCCAAGGATTAGGATACATGCTGATGCAAAGGAATGAAGCCATTGTATACGCATCCAAAAACTTAAGCCAAACAAGACAAACTACTCTACCCGTAACCTGGAATTGGGAGTTGTAGTGTCTGCCTTAAAGATTTTAAGGCACTACCTATACAGAATGAAGAGTACCGTGTCCACCAAATACAAAGGCCTACAACACATCTTCCATCAGAAGGAGCTCACCGAGAGTCAACGAAGGTGGGTAGAATAGCTAAATGATTACGAACGCGAAATTTGTCATCATCTTGATAAAGAAAATGTCGTAGCAGATGCTTTGAATAAGAGAAAACGAGCAAAACCACTTCACGAGAAGGCTCTAACCTGAACAATCCACTCCAATCTTGTTACCCAAATTTGAGATGCTTAACTAGAATACCCCAGACCCCAAAATATCATGGAAGAAAACCTGCGGGGTATGTGTAAACAGTTCGACATCTAGGTATATGAAAAACGATATTTCATGAATCGGATTTGGACACGGAGGTTTAGTGAAGTCAGGAACCTAGTTTTAAACGAAGCTCCTAAGTCGAGATATCGATAAATCTCGGGATCTGACAAGATGTATCTAGATCTGAAGAAGCTTTATTGGTGGCCCAACATGAAGGCAGGGATTGGCATGTATGTCGATAGATGCTTGACTTGTGCCAAAGTCAAAGCACAGTACAAGAAGCCATCAGGATTACTACAACAAGCATCGGTTCTGGAATTGGAAATGGGAACAGATAGCCATGGGCTTTATAACGAAGTGGTTGAAGACTTCAAGCGGTTATGACACCACTTGGGTAATGGTCGATCGTCTAACAAAGTCTGCTTAATTTCTAGTCATTGAAGAAACTGACAAAATGGAGAAACTCGCCAGGACCTACATCAAGTAAGTAGTCAGACTGCACGGAGTACTAGCGTCCATTATCTCAGGACCGAGATAGCAAATTTGCTTTCAGGTTTTGGCAATCGTTGCAGAGACATCTAGGAACCAAACCAGATGTGAGTACTGCATATGATCCTCAAATAGATGGGCATAGTGAAAAGATGACACAAACTATGGAATTCATGCTCCATGCTTGTATAATAGACTTTGGTACGACATAGGATATTCATTTACCTCTAGTCGAGTTTTCATACCATGATAGTTATCATACCAGCATAGAAGCTCCCTATTCAACGTCTTGTATGGATGCAAATGTCATTTTCCGTCATGCTAGACAAAAGTTGGAGATATCCAACTAGCTAGAAAGCATGTTGGAGATACTTTATGTATTGGCCTCGAGGTCACTCAAGAAACCACGCAAATGATCGTTCAGATCAAGGAAAGGTTAAAGGCCACACACCTATAGTAAATGTCCAATGGAACTATCGTAGAGACCCATAGTTAGTTGGGAACGTGAACACCAAATGAAACACAAGTACCCACGACTGTTCGACGGTGATACCTCCACTAGTGGAACGAAATAGTTGTAGGAACAAGATAATTTCGGGACGAAATTCCTTTAACGGGGAGGTAATGTGACATCCCAGAATTTAGGGCTTAATCTATAAACCGTCAGATCACCGCAGACCTTTTGTATATTGACCAATTGAATTTTAATGCATATTTTAGCAGAATTATAATGTCATTCCAAATAAAATAAGATATGAAATGGTATCTTATCTCAAATTATGGAAAATGTCAAACGAAACGTAAAGCACAAACTGTAACTTTGGTTAACGACTGAAAAAACTAAAAATTTGTATCAAGTGCCTGTAAACAAAGAAAATATTCTAGGCTCATAGTACATATTTCCCTGATCGCGGGTATATAAAGAATGTCCAAAGCAGAGTTAATATGTAAAAGATATGATCGTTTTAAGAAACCAAATCGGTATAACATTGATTTTATCTGACTTCAAAAACTGTATTGATCCATATAGGTACTTGCCCACCTCAAATAGAAATTCTGAGAGCATTTTTGGACCCAGATTATGTTCTGCTATTTTATTCACCACTCGAAATAATTTTAGTAGAAATATTTGTAAAAGTTAGAAAAATCAAACGTTTTAGATCAATTAGACGCAAAACTTTAAACGCAAATTCCGAGAGTTCTACAACTCGAAAAATTTATCCTTCCAGGTTTTTAGAATCCTAGATTTAAAATATATCGATCGACGCTATCAAGAAATTACCCGATATCGAGAATTGGACACATGAAACTAGATCCATTTTTAAAATTTAATGAGATATTATATTTTGGTCAAAAATAAAATAAACTAAACAAATATAATAATAACGAACAAATAGACAGCCCATTTACGTGTCTCCCTCTCAAAAGTCAAACTTTCAAAATGAGAAAAACACCAAGTTTACTTTCTTCCGGATCAGAAAGTACCATACGTAAATGGTGAAAACATTGGGCTGCCCTTCCCTTCATTGATAAGAAAAAGTTCAACCACCCACAAACCTCTCTACGTCTACTAATGCTTTTAGTTGCTTCGCTTGTTACTGTGTATCCATGTAACCACCGAGAACCATAGTGGTTCCCCGTATCTTGTCACTGATCGGAGTAAGCCATCAGACACAACCCAACACCACCTTCCTTTGTCACTTTCTCTCTTCCCCGGCGAAGAGAGCCACCACTGTCGACTGTGGTAGCTCCTCCACCTCCCCATGTCATTCCGACCATAAGCTTGCACCTCCCTGCCCGGTCTCTCGTCGAGCTCGCCTGAAAAGAAAGGAAACGAAGGCAGTGAAGCTGCCACCGCAGGTCCGTAACCATCCACCGTTGTCAAAACCCATTTCACCTCCAACCACCGCTTTGACTATTGGAATGCCTCCATACCGGCAGCTACACCTGAAACCACCTGGCGTTCCTTCCCTCTCGTCAAAACCTTCAGAACAGGAACGCAAACGCAGCGAAGCTTCCATCGCCGCCTACTGCTGCCAAACGTTGCCACAGGCCACCACCATCGTCAACCTCCGTCATCATCACCATTCTCCGCCGATTCTGCTATCACCGGTAAGCCACCGCCACCCTCACTTAATTCTTCCTATGTCGAGACCGTGGACGACTGAAATTGGTGCCAAGAGACCGAACAAAGGGGTCTCGTGTTCGTCAGATCTCATACTCCACTGATTGGAGTCACCTGCAAATGTCACGTAACTTAAACGACGACAATTTGTTCAAACTTTGAATCATTTTAATTAAATATGACCCTAGAAGTTTTTGACATATTTAATTTAAACCCTTCGGTTTGCTAATTTTACAAACTAAGTCCCCTTCTTGAAAATAGTTCACCATTTAGGTCAAACTGCCAAGTAAAATGACAATAACAGTCCCTCTCTTCGAAAAATATTAACAACATAAGCCTGAAATCGTAACTTATGCTGAGAATGCGCACTTTAGTCCCTGCCATGCAAAAATATTACAAGAACAGTCCCTCGTTGAATAATTTTAACAAAATAAATCCGTAGAATTTATTTACTTTATCAAAGACCACCCTATACTTAATAATTAATACCAAAACTACCCTTTTTGGTTTATTAGGTAATATAGATAGACCCGGTCATTCGTTTTAAGGGCATAAAACGTCACATAACGATATTCACGACAGATTCACTCTCGAACCCCGTTCACGCTTCAAGGGTGAGTCTTACGGCTCCTTTTTATGTTTTATTATTTTGGGGGGGAATACATGTGAAATATATATAAATATATTTTCCGGTTATGGAATGTGTTTATAAACATGCTAAATATATATATCGGTTATGGAATACGCATATAAAAAAATATATATCTAGTTTTAATACTTATTATTGTCAAAATAATGTATTATAAACTGGTTTATTTACAATATACATGCGTTTAAAAATATTTAGTCATGTGCATAATTTATTTCACTTACATCGAGCATGTACAAACATATTTGTCAATTATATATGTACAATTTATAACAATTATATCTTAGAAATAATTCATGCATGTGAAGAAGCATTTTATCTATTTAAGCGAGTGACATACATTTTTACGGATTTATTGATCTTATTCAACTTTTATAGTGAAACTTTACCGTATAACCTAGTTAATGGCCTCTATAGTGAGACAGTATTCATTACCTAAGTTTAAACACTTAGTATTCCCATTCAACTATAACCGTTAATCCTCGGAGCGAGATACGTATGTATAGATCTATACGGGTTGACACCCCCACCTGCGGTTGCTAGCTACAACCTCGACTGATCAATCGAAGCAGGTGCATATTTATCTTTAGTATAACTACGACGTCTAATGAAGCGTCGTGCAGGGATTATAACTAGTCACATAGCTCGATTATAGGACTCACTATAGGCATTAACAAGACTCTTTAACTAGAAACCATGGATTCGGTTTCTCTGTGTATCAAGCATTTTAAGTATGGACTTACTTATGGTATAACTCTCTATCAAGCATTTTAAGTATGGACTTACTTATGGTATAACTCTCTATCAAGCATTTTATGTATGGACTTACTTATAGTATAACTCTTTATCAATCATTTTCTGTATGGATTTACTTATGGTTTAACTCTTTATCAAGCATTTTAAGTATGGGTTTACTTATGCTTTAACTCTTTATCAAGCATTTTAAGTATGGGTTTACTTATGGTTTAACTCTTTATCAAGCATTTTAAGTATGAATTTACTTATGGTATAACTCTTTACCAAGCATTTCAAGTATGGATTTATCTATGGTTTATCTATTTATCAAGCATTTAAAGTATGGATATACTTATGATTTATCTCTTTAACAAATATTTCAAGTATAGATATATTTGTGATTTAACTCTTTATCAAACATGGTTTTAACCATAAAAGAAATACTTTATAGACTTATAAAGTATCATTACTACGGTTAGCAGAAAACCTGTAACTCTCACCAACCTTTGTGTTGACCCTCAAATCACATGTATTCTCAGGAGATCAGTAAACTTGTGTTTAACAGAAGATTTGTTCATGGATTCTCGGGCAATCTAGTCTTATTTAGTTTTTGTTATGTTGACCTACTTGTTAAGGTGAATTTATGAACCTATTAATATATGTATGAAACTTGTATTTGAACTTTAAATTTGAATGTAACTGCTATGTTGTTATTGTTGTAACTTGTGATGTATATTCAATTTGCTTGGGATCCATGAACTAAGTCGCACAGCCCGGCGTATTCTGCCGCCTCGGCCGGGGGTGTGACAGTAAACCCCTTGGATCATGTGTTTCTTTATGATTTCTAGGCTCTAAGCATGTTAAACCTAGTGTAAAACGAGTTCGAACAAGATTGCTTACGATCTAGGAGCTTGAATGGTCGGATTTGGCTAAGAACACTAGTGTGTGCTCTTGATGAAACTTGAAAATCTACACAAATGGAATGATTTCACGGATGAAATCATGTAAAATGACTAGTTCATGTAAGATATCAACTAGTTAGGACAAGGAACATATGAGATTTGAAGATCAGGGATGAAGATCGGGATGATACTTGAGAGGATTTCAACCAAGGGAAGGAAAGGAATGAAGTAACGGCCACCCTTTCATCATATAAGGTGGAATTTATGGCCCACATGGAGTTTAGGGCTGTAAACTCCCATGTGGTGGCTGTGAACTCCTTGTAAAGGTATTTAAGGTTGGTTCTTTGAGCTATAACTTTAGCAGATAAACCCCGACACTTATCCCTTAAGTGTACAAGGCTCAAAATGCTCAAACGGACTCCAATTTTTGCTAAATTATAGCAGGAATGACTTTGACTTTCAATGAAGTGTTTGACTATACAAGATAGAAAATTTCGGGTTGTTACATCATCACCCTTTAGAGGGAATTTCATCCCGAAATTAGAATTTAGGTAAAGGAGTAGGCATGAATAACCGACCAATAGGTGGGGACACTTCCTATTCGATTGGTTCTCGTGCTCCCAAGTAAATGCAGGTCATCGATTGGCATTCCAATGAACCTTCACTAATGGGAAGCGGCTTTGCTTCATTCATCTGACCTCTCAATCCCTATACAGTACTGTTCTTTCACGAAGGTTAGGTTCTTAATGATCTCGATCTCGTCGAGTGGAATTACAAGAGTCCTGCCGGAAATGTACTTTTTCAAGTTTGAGACTTGGAGGGTAAAATGTACGTTACTAAGTTCGCTAGGTAAGTTAAGTCGTGGATGCTTCTTTTCTCTTTCTTACTACATGAGTAGGTAAGTAAGTCATTTACAAGGACTATGATGAACTGATCCAAGTAAGAATGGTGTACCCTATTCATTAAGTTCATGAATACTACGAGCGTATTGGTCCTATCCGAGGGGTATCACTACGGACTCGTAGTGTCCGTATCGAGTTTGGAAGATTGTCCTCGGAACATCCTTCACTAACACTCGTAACTGGTGATATTCGGATCTCAGGTCTATTTCTGAAAGGTAAATAGTTCCTTCTGGTTGGTCAACCAATTCTTCTATGCGAGGCAGAGGGTAATGATTTTTAATGGAAATCTTGTCGAAGTATCTGAAGTCGATGGACCTACGAAACAATTCGTCTTTCTTCTTGAAGAATAAGATCGGAGCTCTCCGGGGTGAGAAGCTTGGTCTTTCCATTCCATTGTTGAGTAGTTCGTTAAGTTGTCTGGATGGTTCTTGTATCTCTATGGGCATTAGACCGTAAGGCGATCTGGTCACAGGAGAAATATTAGGCTCTAACTTCGTTCGCATGACGATGCGATCACTCGTACTCTTGGACAGTCGCCGTCCCGAAGTTCATATTAGAAGTCATACATGGTTCATCAATCACAGTCTCGTGTATACGTGTGGTATATAATTAAGATTCAAAAGCTAGTCGAATAAATGATTATTCTTTAAGCTTACATTGTAACAACCCGAAATTTTGTTCCCTCGCCGTAACCGTTTCGTTAATAAAACTCGTCTTAAGTGATTTGTTCCGATTTCGTCTTCGAACTAGGTCAATTAAGTTAAAACTTTTTTTTGACCTTGTAAGTATCCAAACAAGTTGGAAACATGTTAAAACGTCCCAAACTAGTAAATTGAAAAATTTTAGTTTCGACCATATCGGGTAACGACAACTTAATCGGGTGCGACCCAAAGCATCGGTTAACGTCGGTATCGGGTAGAATTCCACCGTGTATCCAATTCAAACCATATTTAAAGTGAATTAAGACTCATTTGGAGCCTTTTCACTCTCTCTCTCTCTCTCTAGCCTCTCTCCTCAACTCAAGAATTTGGTCCAAAAATCATCCATTTCAAGCCTCAAAACACCAAGGTAATCATCCTAGCTCCTAGTATAACATCCTTAGCCTTCATTTTCGTGTTCAAATCATGGAATAGGACCATAAACATGTGTTTACAGACCTGGAACAGCCTTAGGCCGTGAACACATGTAAATGGGGTTTTTGAGCCTTAAAACCAACCCAAATCACCATAGGAGCTTAGATATGGCTTAAGGACTTATTGGTTTGGACTTAGAACACCTTGGATATCATTTTTGAGGAGTAAACATTAGTTTACTTCCCAAGAACAAGCTTGGTCCGTAAACACCATTTCATGGGGAGTAAACTCCTTTTTGGGTGTTAAAATGAAACTTACACACCTCATAAGCCTAGGAATAAATCCTAGAACCAACCAAAAATTATTTGGGGGCCTTAAACATAACAAAAACCCTACATTTGAGAGTTTACGACCATAGCATATGCTCCAGGGCCGTAAACTCCTACATATGTGTCATTTGATGCTCTAAACTCACCCCAAGTCTTGTAAAATTGAGTTGAATCATTTGTGATTAATCTTTGACCTTCAAAACAATTAAGGATAATGTGGGTGAGAGTTTACGGCCGTAAACACTTATTTTACTGCCGTAAACTCATAAATTGGTCCATATGGTTGAGTTAATTCCTTGATAATTCCCTAGAACTAAACCTAGCAACACCCCTCATTTGATTTAAGGCCATTTAGCTCATAAGAACACCCACCATGAGTTTACGGCCATAAACTCATGGGGATGTGGTGTTTAAGGCCGTGAACACTCCCTAGAGTTTACTCTTGGAGATTAAACTCCATATCCTAGCCATTCATGTCCAGAAACGTCACCCGGGTCACTCCAAACACTTAATTTGAAGTGTTTTCGCGTCTTGGAGTGTATAATCGTATCTGATTAGTGTTTTAAATTCTAATTAGATACCTTTGTGTATCATATAACATTACATAGGAACCTCGCACGTTTTCAAGCCTTGATCCAACATTTAGCATCCCCGTCGACACATTTCTCGCCCGGTGAGTTCATACCCCTACCCTTTTTCAATGGTTTTTAAATGTTTTCAGGGGGGAGAATACAAGCAAAAGTACAAGAATATATTGTACTTAAATACATTATTTCATTTAAATGGTTTCATAATCCTCACACTTTTAAGAATTGAAAACTTACTAACAAACTGTTTTAACTCGCAGCGTTGTTTGTTCAAATCGATTTTCAATTCTTATTATATACTGTTATGTTGTATACTTTACAATTGATTGTTCACACTTATATTGATTGAGATTATAAAACATTTGTAAAGTCTGTAATAAAACACCCTAGGCACGAGTATAAAAGACTGACACCATTAGAAAACATAAATCAATCGTAATGTCCTTAATAACACACCTAGGCTCGAGTGTAAAGGACAGACACCTTTAGAACACATAAACCATTGTAACGTCCTTAATAATACACACAGACTCGAGTATAAAGGATAGGAACATTAAAACTTAGTTGGTCATAGATACTATTTCCCTAGGCGAGAAGTAAAGGTAATCTTAAAGATTGGAGACACGTCCTCTGTAACACTTCCTTGGCTCGAGAGAGTGGAGGACTACCCCTATAACCAGAATCTTCGAACGTAGGAGAGCATGGCTTGAGTATATAGATCTATACGGGACTGACAACCCGCACCTGGCTGCTAGCTACAGCGGAACCGAAAGGTTTTAGGGTGACGAAAGTCATAAATAGGATACTGGCCATGACCCGAGTCATATCTAGTCTGAAGTATGGTTAAGGACTCGCAATCAAGATTATTAACACTTTACACTTATTTATTAGTTTTATGTATGTAATAAAACAAATGTACGTTTAAGGATAATCGGACTTTCAGGAGACACACACACAATCAGGAAAACATGGGGTTTTCCTGGGGATAACATTGAACATTATCTGAATCGGTAACAGTTAGCACACACAGAATTGGTAACAGTACACACACACATTCAG